TTAAAGCCCTCTTGATCAAATTCTTGAGACTGTTGGCAAAAACATCTCTGCCAGCTGACATGAGGTACAACCCATCCTCTGCCAAAAGTTCCCTCTCCTGGAACCGCAGGCCATGATCCAAGAATCCAAATTGTTCTCGGCAGCACCATCTGCGGAGCCGGTTGTTCACATCCGCTATTTTCCTCTCCCTTCCTGAACCATGCCCTTCAAAGTAGAGAGCTATAGAATACTCCTGTCCTGGAAAAGGGGGATATCTAGTTGTTGTTGCTGTGCCTTTAAGGGCCTTTGCAGACGGCTAGAAATAGTGCAAATTGAGTCCACTTTAAGGGTTAGGGTTAGGGAATCATGGGAACTGTATTTTATTGTGGCACCAGAGCTCTCTGACAGAGAAGGCTCAATGTCTCAGAAAAAAACAACAACAATTCCCATGATTCCCTAGCACTAACCCTAACCCTAAAAGGGGACTCCATTTGCACTATTTCTGGCAGTCTGCAAAGGCCATCATTTCTGATTTATGGTGACCTTAAGAGGTTTTCTTGGCAAGATTTGTTCACAGAAAGTTTGCCAGTGTCTTCTTGTAAGGCTGAGAGAATGTGACTTGCTGAAGGTCACCCTGTAGGTTTCATGGCCAAGCTAGGAATCAAACCACATGCTCAAACCATGTTGGCTCTCTGTGTTGCCACTATACTACTGACAACCATCAGCAACCCTGGGTCTTTGGAAGAGGAGTATTCTATAGCTCTCTGCTTGGAGTAAATGCCTGGGATAAAACCTGGGAGATTTGTGTGTGTGTGTGTGTGCAATTCAAGCATTTTGACACTTACAGTAATGTAGGCAATAAATTTTAGGGACTACAATTTTTTTTCAGAGCAGAAATCTCAACCCTAGCATTGTTCCAGCACCAAGTAAAAACATGTTTTTTTACTAAAGCATTCAGGCCTTGATGGATGGCATTTGGATCTGCACACGGTCCATGGTTATTAAATGGTCTTAAACTGTTTCGACTGGTTTTAAATGCAGTCATCCCTCCATATCCACAGATTTTTTAATCCACGGATTCAACCATCCGTGGCTTGAAAATATTCAAAACTATTATACAAATTCAAAAAAGGAGTTTGAATCCATTGCTCTGGGTCCTATTCTTTAAAGCTGCAGAAAACAACTATGCTCCATCTGCAATATGACATACCTTCAGATATTTAAACAGGGCTATCATATCACTTTTTAACGTTTTTGTGTGCGACAACACCTGTTCAAGGCCACTGAAGCCCAATCCCATCCCGTGCATGGATCGGCCAAAAATATAAGAGCAATAATCTCCAAAATCTCTCCTTATAGGGGGCTTCGTGGTTTCCAGACCCTTCACCATTTTGGTCACCCTCCTCTGGACACAGTCCCGCTTCTCAACATCATTTTTGAACTGTGTTGCCCAGAACTGGACACAGAATTATTCCAACTGAGGTCTAACCAAAGCAGAATAGAGTGGCACTATAACTTCCCTTGATCTAAACACTATACTTCTATTGATGTAGCCTAGAATTGCATTGATGCCGCATCACACTGTTAACTCATGTTCAACTTGCGGTCTACTAGGACTCCTAGATCCTAGTAGATCCAAGTAGATTTTCACATGTAGTCTCGTCAAACCAGGTGTCCCTCATGCTATAGCTATGCATTTTATTTTTTCTACCTAGGTTCAGTACCTTCCATTTCTCCCTACTGAAATTCATTTTGTAAGTTTTGGCCCAGCTTTCTAATCTAAGGTATTAAGGTCATTTTGAATTCGGATCTTGTCCTTTGGGGTTTTAGCTACCCCTCCTAATTTGGTGTCCTTGCAGATCTTAGTCCACCACTCAAACCACTGCTGGCTCTTGTTAATATTATTTATTAAGATGTATTAACACTATTAGTTAACTATATATCACTATCGTGTTAAAATAGCCATACGTTTACAATTCTCCTCCATTTCATGGGCAAGAAAGGGGGGGGGGGAATGAATGCAAGTGGAGAGCAATAATTTCCGATTGCTGTCTTTTGCTCTCGCAATCCATCTTTCTCTATTCTGGAGAGATCATTTTGATGAAATCGCTCTAAGCCCACTGGTTACGCCAGAATACAAATACACTAGAAATAAATTACAGAGATATGTTTTTAAAAAGCGAAGATTGTTGATGCTGAAAGGGGAGGGGAAAGATTGATTAGAAAGAAAGAAAGAAAGAAAGAAAGAAAGAAAGAAAGAAAGAAAGGAGGAAGAAAAGGCTCTTTCCTTGGGATGGGAGGCAAAGGGGAGAGAAAGATAGCTGTGCAAATCCTTTCAGGTCTTTTTCAAATTTAAGGTGAGCATTCCCAAGCAAGGCACTTGCTTGGTTTCCAAAGAAGAAAAATGAATATGGGGTTTTGCAAATATTCCTTATGGCCCAAAGACCACCATCGTGCAAAATAACAACATGTCCCTTATATAAGCAAATAGCAAAGATTTGCATCGGAGCATCAAAACTGGGATGGAGGAAATAATGGATGGCAATTATTCTGTTGTTCTCATTACATGGCCAGCCAGTCAAAGCAGGGCTCAGAAAAGTTCTTTTTTTTTTTTTGGACTACAGCTCCCAGAATCCCCTAGCCAGCATACAGTCAGCCTTCCATATCCACAGATTCCTTATCCATGGATCCAACCATTCATGGATTGAAAATATTCAAGTATATACATTCCAAAAAAGCAAACCTCAATTTTTGCCTTTTTTCTTTAAGGGAGGCCTTTTTATTATGCCATTGTATATAATGGGACTTGAGCACCCATGGATTTTGGTATTCACAGGGGTCCTGGAACCAAACCCCAGCGGATACCAAGGACCCACTGTACTT